TATAACGAATACGTCCGCTTAGATATGATGAATTAAAGTGAGTATTAAAAACTCAATAAGCGAAAAAAGACTTAAAATCCGATAAATTTTGTTGAATTTAATCAGAAGCGACTTAGCCCTTTCCAGATCTCGTGGGACTTGAATAACTGCAGACCTTGAAGGATTTTGAGCGATTGGTTTTCTAGGCTGTATACCGTGAATCGGTTGCGTAGCCAGTTGCGTTGTCAGTTGAACCGTGCTGATAAACAAATTGCACTTAATCCAGGTTCCAGGCGAATTTCGATGCGTGAAAAAATATTCCAAAAATGCACAAAGTTAGTCTGTACGTACGGTTCCAGTATCAATGTCAGAGACTGTAACTGTGGAATGGTGTCCAAGTCGAAATTGTCCCAGTTGGAGCGCAGAATAATTCCGTCGTGCACTCGATTTGCGATATTTAGGAAGGGCTAAGAGATTGTCCGAAGAAACACAACTAGTCGAAGAGGTCCAATTCGCCAAAAACTGTTCATTAAATATCTCGAAACTTTTCTCCTGAGAAGAATAAACTCATATAAAACGCAGCATCCCAGCCTCGAGACGCTCTCGAATATCCTATAGCTGGTGCTCAGTTGACCGCTGATAGTTTCAATGCTTTCCTGTCCAAAACGACCTTTGAAACTCCTTGACTCCGTTTCTGATAACCCGGGCTTGGTCCAGAGAACTTCACAAAACGATAACTTTCACCTTGTGGTACGTGATTAGAGCAATTTGGTGTCTTCATCGGTCTCATAGCCCAGGACCTGGTGGTGTCACAGTTATCATTGTAAAAGCGGACGCAAATGAAAATTTCCCATTCCTTCTCTGCAAGATTTTTAATCCTGCTCTTGAAAGTGAAACCTATCCTGCATTGTGGAAGGAATCACAAACTTTGCCTTTTTCCAAGCATGACCAATATACGTCATTTTATGACTTTCGGCCAATAAACACCCTCCCTGCAGTTTCGAAGATCTTAGAGACATTGATCAAAGATAAGATGATGTGTTACTTAACAGTGAATAACCTACTGAGTGCTGCTCAGCATTCATTCCTCAAAATTCAATCTTGTTACATCTGTCAGCTCTATTTCATCGGTCATGTTTTTCAATCTAGAGACAATGGTTATGCACTTTAGACAGTCCATATCGATTTCACTAAGGTTTTTGACCGTGTTGACCATGCTCTTCTTCTCTTGAAACTCTCCTCTTGCGGAATAGATGGCAAACTTTTGAATTTTATATTCCCTTACCTTGGCAGTCGCACATAACGAGTTAAGATTTCCAATGCTATCTCCAACCCCACATGTGTGAGGAGTGGAGTCATTCATGGTAGTGTACTTGCTCCGCTATTATTTTGCCTGTTTGTTATCGATGTACCAGATTTATTTCAGGATGGTAGGCCCTTCATGTATGCCGATGATCTGGAAGCTGCATATCGACATAAGCCAGCAGATCGTGACATCGTGCTCGAGTTCCTGAAAAGAGACCCACAGGCCTTTGCCCGGTGGTGTTGCACATGGCGCCTTTCTATGTCTGGGCATAAATGCTCAGTCATGGTTGCGAGCGATGACCACGAATCCCAACTAAGTATTGACGGTCACGACATAAATGTGCCTGGACCTATTAAGGATCTTGGTGTATCATACTCCAAGTGCCTTAATCTTTCGAAGCATTGCGCCCCGATAGTCTCCAATGCACGCGGAACGACCGGATTTATACTCCCAAATTTTCAAACTGTCGATATAAGAATTCGCCTTGATAACATGTACGTTAAACCGGGCCTGGAATAATGTTCGTTCTTATTTAACCTTGTGCTTGCTGCTGGGTGGAAGAGAAGAGAATCCGTCCAACATTATTTACTTAGAGAGTTTTAACCTAGGAACGCCGAAATTTGTCTTACCAAGAACGTTGCTGGCTTACACACTATTACCCCTTTTGATTTTGTGGACTACAAAATGGACTATTTTAACCGCTTAAGCTTCTCAAAAATCGTACTTTTAACCGGCTTACTGCTTTAAAGCATCTTGACCACCCCCGACGTAATAGTCACCGTGAGGTCTTTTTATTTCTTTATCTGGCACGTTCCATACATATGGGTGTAGGGATGTAGGGGTGTCCAGCGGTGGGTTCACGTGATGGTCGTAGTGGTCGCTCACTTGCTTGCAGGTGAGACTACGCCTTGCGTCCATTTGCTGGCACCCAACTCTCACCTGTGGCTCCACGTAGCTGGGCTCTGCTCAGCGGCCACACCCCGGGCAACCTTCTCGACCGGCGGGCTAAAGCAGGTGAGGGTATCCGTGCGTGCACCTGCACACGCGGTACTGTGGACTCCGCTGGCCGGATGGATCTTCGCGTCGACATCGTCGAGACGAGGCTCTGCCTGGACCACCGCAGGAGGCCACCAGGTAAGTTCTTCTTCAGGTTAGTGAATTTGCTTTGTTTCCTCCTTTTGTCTGTTGAAGTTCTGTGTTGTTCGCTGCTCTTCTTGCCTGAACCTATATGCTAGTCTGTCTGTTATTATCTAGATGAAACTCTTGATGCTTGCCGCGACTGTCTGTCTGTCAATGCCTCTCACTGCTAACAGCTAAGTGTTACTATGCTTGATCTTGAAGGATGCCCTCTCACTTTTGTCTCTGAATTATGAATGCGCCTGCTTGTCCACTCTAGCTAGCTGTAAGTCCCATAGCGTTCATCACCATCACCACCAATGTCCCAGGCTAATTCGGGTCGTTCTCTCACTAACAAAAATTCGTGTCCCATAGTGGAGTTCGGCAGCCGTCTGGGATAACCGGGCAGCCCTGTTCAGGGATGCGTTGCCTGCCCTCGCGAGGGGGGAGGGGCTAGAAAAGGTGCCCTAAAGATCGCTGGGAACCACGCTGTCTGTAGGCTGGCCGTGGCCGCAGACAAAACACACACGGTCGAAACAGACAAAACCGAAACAACAACAACAACCACTCTCTTTCTCTTCCAGCCTATTCTTCTTTTCCTCCTCCTAGTTTTCGCCGCAGCAGTCGTCAGACTGGCATGGTGAGCCTGCTCACTCTGGCAGCCTGGAATGTTCGTACCATTTTAGACAATCCGAGTTGCAACCGACCGGAACGGAGAACGGCGCTAGTGGCACGAGAACTGGCGCGCTGCAAGGTGGACATCGCTGCACTCAGCGAGACCCGATTCTCCGAACAAGGCCAACTGGAAGAGGTGGGTGCCGGTTACACCTTCTTCTGGAGTGGTCGGCCCAAGGCAGAGCGACGAGAGGCGGGTGTTGCCTTCGCTATCCGGAATAACATCGCGGGACGACTACCCTGTTTACCGCAGGGAATCAACGATCGCCTGATGAGCCTCCGTCTGCCTCTCCGGGGTGGGGGCAAATTCGCCACCATCATCAGCGCCTACACTGCGCCGATGAGCAGCCTCGATGCCGCCGCAAGAGACAAATTCTACGAGGACCTGAACGCCCTCTTGGCGACTGTGTCGAAGGCGGACAAGTTGATTGTCCTTGGTGACTTCAATGCCCGCGTCGGCACAGACCATACTGCCTGCAGAGGAGTGCTGGGCACCCACCGTCTCCGCGGCTCCACCGACAACGGCCTGCTGCTGCTCCGCACCTGCGCAGAACACCGCCTCATCCTGACGAACACGTTCTTCTGTCTGCCGGAGCGAGAGAAGGCCACCTGGAGGCATCCTCGGTCGCGCCAGTGGCACCTGCTGGACTATGTCCTCGTCTGGAGGCGAGATCAGCGGGACGTGCTGGTGACGAAAGCGATCGCGGGTGCTGACAGGTGGACCGACCATCGCCCCGTCATCTCGAAGTTGCGTATTCGTCTACAACCTCGCAGGCGACCACAAGGTAAGCGCCCCCAGGTAATCTGAATGTTGCCTTGTTGTCTTTGCCCGCTCACCATCTTCATTTCAGCAATGAGCTAGCTCAACGGCTAAACAACCTTCCTATCGCTGCCGACGCCGCCGCTGCCGAGAACGCCTCCGTGGAGAACCGCTGGTGTCAACTGCGAGACACGGTCCAGGCGACGGCGCTCGCCGTCCTCGGTCGCGCTCCCCGACAACACCAGGACTGGTTCGACGAAAACGACGCCTCCATCAGAAATCTGCTTGCTGAGAAGAGCCGCCTACACAAAGCCTACTTAGATCACCCCACTGAGGACAACAAAGCTGTCTTCTACAGCAGTCGCCTCCAGCTTCAGCAACGACTGCGCGAGATGCAGGATGCCTGGACTGCTCGCAAAGCTGAGGAGATCCAAGGCTACGCGGACCGCAACGAATGGAAGAACTTCGTTGCGATTAAAGCCGTCTACGGTCCGCCGACGAAGGACACTGCTCCTCTCCTCAGCGCCGACGGCAGCACTCTCCTGACTGAGAAGACGCAAATCCTGCAGCGATTGGCCGAGCATTTCCGTGGCGTCCTCAACCGCCCTTCCGCCATCTTTGTCGCCGCCATCGAGCGTATGCCGCAAGTGGAGATCAACACGGACCTTGACCTCTCGCAACCTCTCCAGGAAACCATCAGGGCCGTACAGCAGCTCTCCAGCGGGAAAGCACCCGGATCGGACGCAATCCCTGCTGAGGTCTACAAGCACGGAGGTCCCCAACTGATGGATCACCTGAATGCTCTCTTCCAGGAGATGTGGCGTCAAGGCGAAGTCCCGCAAGATTTCAAGGACGCAACAATCGTGCATCTCTACAGGCGAAATGGTAACCGCCAAGTCTGTGACAATCACCGTGGCATCTCCTTGCTGAACATCGCCCGGAAGATCTTCGCTCGCATCCTTCTCAACCGCCTCAATAACCACCTGGAACAGGGCCTTCTGCCTGAAAGCCAATGCGGCTTCCGTCGTCATCATGGGATCACGGATATGATCTTCGCCGCCCGCCAACTACAGCCAACTACTGCATGTAAATTTATATTTACTTGCTTTGATGGGACCCCAACGGGTCTTTAATAATAAAAATAATTGAATTAAGTGCCAGGAGATGCGGACCCACCTATACTCTACCTTCGTGGACCTGACGAAAGCCTTCGACACGGTGAATCGTGAAGGACTGTGGAAGATCATGCAGAAATTCGGCTGTCCAGAGCAATTCACTCAGATGGTGCCTCAGCTGCACGACGGTATGATGGCGCGAGTCACGGACAACGGAGCTGTCTCAGAGGCATTCGCAGTGACCAATGGAGTGAAGCAGGGATGCGTGCTGGCACCAACCCTCTTCAGTCTTATGTTCTCTGCCATGCTGATGGACGCCTACCGCGACGAACGCCCTGGAATCCACATCGCCTACAGAACGGACGGTCATCTCCTGAATCAACGGCGCGTGAACTTCCATGCGCGCGTATCCACAGCCACCGTGCACGAACTCCTCTTCGCCGACGACTGCGCCCTGAACACCACCTCCGAAGCGGAGATGCAACGCAGCATGAACCTGTTCTCCGCCGCCTGCGAGAACTTTGTGCCGGTTATCAACACGCAGAAGACGGTGGTGATGCACCAACCTCCGCCCAACTCAGCCACAGCCCTCAACGCGCCGCAAATCAGCGTGAATGGGACCAACTGCAAGTGGTAGAGAACTCCCCGTACCTGGAAAATACCCTATTTCGCAACATAAAGATCGATGACGAAATCGCCAACCGAATCTCGAAAGCCAGTCAAGCCTTTCGACGCCTCCAAAGTACAGTTGGGAATCGCCACGTTCTCCAACTGAACACAAAGCTGAAGATGTACAAGGCCGTCATCCTGCCGACGTTACTGTACGGAGCAGAGACATGGACGGTGCACACGAGGCAGGCACGTCGACTGAACCACTTCCACCTCAATTGTCTCCGTCGCATCCCGAGGCTGAACTGGCAGGACCGCATCCCCGACACCGATGTGCTGGAACGGACGGGAATCCTAAGCATCTTCTGCATGTTGATACAAATGCAGCTGCGCTAGAGTGGCCACCTGGTGCGCATGGACGACGAGCGACTACCCAAACGACTCTTCTACGGAGACGTCGCGACGGGTTCTCGTCGTCAAGGAGGCCAAATTCGCCGTTACAAGGATACCCTGAAGTCCTCCCTGAAGCGCCTGCAAATCAACCCGACCAACTGGGAAGATCTCGCCCGCGATTGTCCGACATGGAGGAGAACAGTGAAGACGGGCGCTGCTATCTATGAAGCCAACAGAATCGCCGCCGCCAAAGCGAAACGCGAAGCCCGCAAATCACTTCGCCCAATCCGCAACGCCGCCGCACAACCTCTCCCCACGTGTCCTCGATGTCAACGGACATTCCGGGCACGAATCGGACTTGTTGGACATCTTCGGATCAACTGTACCTCTCGAACTGCTCCAGCCATCGTCCCCCAGCCCGCCTCTTCCTCGTCCTCTCTGCCGCCAACTAACTCTGACAACTCTTCTGTACCTCCACTGCCCACACTGCCCTCGCACCTTCACGCATCGCATGGGTCTATTCGGCCACATGCGCATCCACGAGAGCGGAATTGACCACAATTCCGATACACCAACCACGCCCATCATGCACAGCACCACCCTCGCACCATCAGTTTGCACCACCACCAACGCCTACTCTGTGGCTGACACTGACGCCGCCGAATTCACATGCCCACACTGTCCACGCACATTCACCTCACGTATCGGCCTGGTCGGTCACTTGCGAATCCATCGCACAGAGACTGGCGAACCAGCGCCTGGAGCACCAACCTACACCCACCAAGCTCGTCTCCACTGCCCACACTGTCAACGAACCTTCGGGCATTGAATGGGCCTATTCGGTCACATACGCATCCACGACGACCTGCGGTAGACAACCGCCGCTTACATCACACATTCACTCACTCCCTACCTCCTCCACCACCACCATCACCCCAACAGAAATCAACACTCACACACCTCATGCACCCAACTGCCACCTCCCACGCAAGTGGGAAGTGTGCATCTCGACTCGGTCCCTACGCGGCCTTGGCTGCAGGGGTGACCTGAGTCCGAGACTGTCCCTACACGTCAAGCGTCTTGGATAGGAAGGCTGTCGACTGACGCCCACACTCGGTCCACGCAGTTCGTGGCGTTGTGTGTGTTGTGTGTAGTGGCGGACTGGTGGGCTAGGGACGGGCTGAAACAGCACCTTCCACGGCCCTCTCACGCAAGTGAGAGACACGCCGTTCAACCCCCGTTGTGTGAAATCCTGGTGTTTGTGTGTATGGGGGGCCAGGTCGTGCTGTGGCGTGCGCACGCATGGCCAGTCGACCGTGTCAGCCACCGCGCCCATCTCCCACTCCTGTCTGCTGACCGGCTCGGACAGCGGCTGGGGTGTGGGAGTGGGAAGGGAGAGTGAGGTCGACGACTCAGCGCATTTTCCTCACTATAAACAATCTGACGCGCTTGAAGCTATCACGGTGCGCTAAAAGCCGTGGCTTGGAAGGTTGCCAAATGACGGGGTACCTTGGACCTCCTCCTTCACTGGAGGCGGTCTGAGAGTCAGACTGCAATGGCTCCTTTTTAATGTGGCCTTTATAGCATTCCCACCACAGTGTGGGATCCGAGCCAGGCGTTGGCGGCACGCCCAGGTGCGGCTTCGGCCGTGCCAGTCTCCAAATCTCTGTTGTGTTGGTTAAAATCCTGGTTATTTGTTGTGTGGGCCAGGGGGTGTGGTGGAACGCCAAGGCGAGGATCTGTCAGAACCATCCACCTGCGGCCTCCCTCGTCTCCGGTCTTCTTGACTCTGTCTCGACACCGGGCCCAGGCGGGGGAGGAGGAGAGAGTGTAGGTAGATGCAGCGCAAGTCTACCGGCACTATAAACCCCTGCGCAAGTCACCGTACCTGCTCCCACCTGCTGTGGGGCATACGGTGGACATCATCGAAATCGATGGTCGAACTCTCAGAAATTATCTCTTGCCTTATTTTCTATACAGAACGTCTAAACGATCAATTAAAGTCACTCCTTATCGTGCTTTTTTGCGTTCTTGTGGTGTTATAAGCTAAGAGGGGTACGAGTGGCTCCTTGGTGGGGTGTGGTCGTTGACTGACTGTCCCTAGTCGGTTCCATCAGGTTAACTGCGATCATCTTGTCCTAGCCCATTTTTTTCAAATGGATTAGCTCTTGAAAGTCGAAAACGTGGCCAGCTTTTAATAAGAGGGCTGGGACATATGCGGCGCGTTGCTGACCTCCTTTTGCGGTAACGAGTTTTCACTTGTCCCCTTCCCTAGTTAATCGACATTTATTGGTGATGACGCATTATACCCTGCACCTTGTTCTCCGAAAGTTCGTAACGGAACTACATTGAGTGACCTAACCCATGAGATATGCTTAAGCTACTGGATAATCACTAACTGGGTTGAAACCAGTCCGAATTCATTCGCTGAAACCCCAGTTGCATAATGAACTACCCCCAGCCGGCTGAAAACATCAAACTGTTGTTTCAAGCACTACTTATACCATCTCCAAGCCCACACGTGTGAGGAGTGGAGTCATTCAGGGTACTGTACTCGGCCTGCTTTTATTTTGCCTTTTCGTTAATGATGTACACGATTTATTCCAGAATGGTAAGCCTTTCATGTATGCCGATGATCGTAAACTTGCATATCGATATAAGCGGGCAGAGCGTGTGCTTGAGCTCCTAAAGAGCCATCTGCAGGCTTTCGCCCAGTGGTGCCGCACATGGCGCCTTTCTCTTCCTTGGCATAAGTGCTCAGTCATGGTGGTTGGCGACGACCGCCAACCTCAACTAAGTATTGAAGGTCACGCAATAAATGTGCCTGGGGTTATTAAGGATCTGGGCGTATCATACTCCAAGAGTCTCAATCTCTCGGAGCACTGTGCCTTGATAGTCTCCAAAGCACGTAGAACGACCGGGTTTATCCTCCGAAATTTTAAAACTAGGGACATTAGAATGCGCCTTTTCAACATGTACGTTAGACCTGGTCTGGAATACTGTTCGTTTTCATTTAGCCTCATGCGTGCTACTGAGCGGAAGAAGATAGAATCCGTTCAACACTTTTTTACTAAGAGAATTTTAACCCCGGAACACCGACATTTGTCTTACCAAGAACGTTGCCGGCTTACAGGCCTCGATCTTTTATGGTTCCGTAGATTACAAAAGGGACTATTTTTGCTATTTAAACTCTTATATAATCACACATTTAACCCACTCACCTCTTTAAGACATCATATCCACCCACGACGTAACAGTCACCGTGAGGTCTACTTATTTCTGCCTCTGGCACGTACTGTTAAATATCGTCGGTTCTTTTCTGTAAATGCAATTGCTATTTGGAATAAACTACCCATGAGTGTGAAAACCCTGCTAAATTATCCTTTATTTAAGAGAACTATTACTCGATTTTTGCATTCGGAATAGCTCCCACAAATTTTGGGGGCTGAATCCACTGAACGACTGTACCGTAGCGATGGCGTTTGTGGTCTCTGAACACTATGGCCGGTCTCACCAGCTGTTCCTCAACGCCTCTACTTTGACTATCCCCAACTTCATGAAAGGAATTTGACGTCCGATAATCTCCGATACCGTGCAACCTCCCCCCTTCTTGACGGTCGATATTCTCCCACCGTCGGCAGTTTTTTCTCCTGAGCCCTCCAAACCACAAAAACCACCATCAACTATATTTATATCCCTTAAGCTCAGGAGTTTTTTTCACTGCTGGTCGGATTTGTGTTTAATCGCTTCCCTTGACAATGCCTGTAAACTGGCATTAAATAAAAATTTATTTATTTATTTATTTACTTCGGCAATAAGTTGAAGTTGAGTTAATCCATTCAGGAGAGCGCGTGGAAATGTAACATTAGTTGAAGGCAACCTTTAGCATGAAGAATTTCCGAATATCGAGTCACTCCACTCTGCATGTGAGTGGACATTGCCAGAAACGGCCAAGGCGAATAAGTAGTAGGTACGGGGCTTTAGGTGTCTAAATGACCATTTAAATTTCCCTTAACATGCCTTGTGATTTGGGTCACATGCCCCACATGCATTACTTTTCGTGACTTCGGGATATCTTGATTCTAAAATAAGTGCTCACAGAGGCGTGACGATGTACTCTGTTTCTGCTGCATTCCGAAAGCCTTTCAGGGGGAGAGTCCGCGCTCCCAGCCAAAGAGCACCTACTTTCTACTAAAATAATTTGACATCCTCTTGTTACGCAACAGCTGTGTATGCGCATCTAAGGTCGCTTTTGACAACATTTACTTCAGAATTCGAGAGTTCTCAATAACTAACTTATTTTTTCACATGGATTCCATTGAGACTGGATCTCGTGGTCCGTTGAGGAACGCTTATCGGTTCATGGAGTCACAAAACATCGCGATTCCAGACCCGCGCGAAAACAAATTCAGTCGATAGACTAAAACGTCTTCGTGCAATAGAGATAGCCTTAATTCTTTACTTGATCCTAGAACGAACTCTAGGGACCTCATTTGATACCAGACAGCGAGGATGAAATACCACCAACGAATCGCTGAAGACAAACTAGCGACTACGCCCTTTTTCCGTTTTTCCCCTATCAACAAATGCCGGCTAGAAAAGTTTATGGATTGACAACTTTGCTAAAATCTAATA